GAGAAGGGGTATAGAATAGGTCCGGGGCAGTTATAATGTTATAAGTTGCTATGGATTAATGAGCAAGGACGTGAATCGCGATTGGAAATATTCCAAATAACTCTTGCTTCGAACAAACACATTGTAAATCACCTCAGATGAGGTAAACAAAGGTGATCGGAGATGTTATAAACACACCTCCGCAACAACGAAACGGTTTCTGTTTAATATCTCCCCGATTCTTTATCATCTAACTAATGGCGTTTATATAAATAAATACGATCAAGAATTGACTTTTCTGCAGAGTAGAATTACAAGAGAGGTTATTTGTAGAGCTTGAAAGACAAGTAACAATATCACCCAGCTGATACTTGTTAAAATATCTGTAAAATTAAATTATTTTTTTAACGCTTAAAACATAAACACATTACCATTAAAACTTATTTGATTTAAAAGTTCGTATTATATGACTCGAATAGCGTAGGATTAGTTAATAATAGCATAATTTATAAACTATTTTAACGAAATATTATCCTTGATTAGAGTTAATTTTAATAAGACATCTGGTAAACCTGTTATTAATAACCCAAAACCCCTACTGCTGAACTGACTGTAGTTAGAATCAAACCGGCTGGGAGGTATCTACAAAATTCTTAAGTTAATTATTTATAACAGAGTTGATATCTTCATTAATAAAGTAACAAACAAACAAGCCGAACATTTATTTATTTATATTTTAAAAAAATATATGCATAAACATTTAATAAATTATTTATACTTTGACAAATCTTTCTTTCGAACAGTTACACTAGTATGTAGAAAGGATTGCAGAATTCTTCCTGTCGTTTAAATGTAGGAGGGCCGAGATCTATATTAATCACAAAACAAATAAGCATATATTTATCTTTGCATAGCTAAAAATCCTCGGTGGTTCCGGATGAACCTACGATTTTTTTAAAGCTGTAACAGTGTTGCAACGACACGTAAAATTTCAATGTTAACGCCCTAGAGTGAACCACATTGCAACATAATATTTAATAAATAATTTTGTTGCAAAAGGCGAATATGGGATGAAGCAAGTGGATTATTATTATTATTTTTAATCATCTTACAAGAAAAACATCATTACAAAACGAATACCCGAAAATAGCGACAAGGAAATAAAGCTTAAACAAGGAAGTACCAGATGACAACAAGTAAAAGCAGGAGACGAGAATAAACTGGGATGCGTTACTTTTTAAACCGACCTATCGAATCTCCAGCATTTACCAGCTGTGAAAATATCATTCAACAACGATAGCCTTGTAACAGCATGAAATGTGTAGATCGTTCTCCATTAAACAAGTCGAGAATAAATTGCAGTCTTCTAGGAATATTTCAAAACATAAATATCCCTATTTACATTTATGTTAACATATTTTTTTTCTTCTTCTTCTTCTTTATTTTTCAAGCTTTAACAATAAGGCGAATAAAACTAGAAATATTCACTATTTTACAGGAAATCTAACGAAAAATAAATACGATTTACAACCAATTAGAAAAACTTTTATAAAACTTATTATTATTTTTCTATTTGCACAACGTCAGCCTTGACCTATTACTTCATAAATCAGCCTTATTAAGAACGATTTTTACTTTTTTCTAAATCGATTTTTCGGTTACCATTTCCGCATATATTGGTTTGCCAGCTTATTATAAAGAGAAGGCGACATCAGTTCTCTCTTCTTGCCAAAACTTTTACGACTGTTCTTACGAGGTAATTCCAGCAATCCCGTACTCTCTTCTCCATTCAACATCCTGTTATTACTAACCTTAATATACCGACTACACCCTTAATGTACTCTTTACTATCTCGAGCAAGTTTTGTCGCTCTAATTTTCAGCTCTCTTCACTCGGACTCGACGTTATGAGACCCGCAAACACGCGTACAATAGAACTCCTAAAATTCATCCCAACGATAATCACCGTGATTGATCATCCTCGATTTTATTGATATAAATCAATTATTCGGTTTTTTTTCGGATAAAATATAAAAAATACACTTATAATTGCTATTTTTATAATGATGATGACGATGATGATAACATTTTCATCATCGCATAACGACATAAATCACGAATCATCTCATCATAAAACGAAACAAATGTAAGCCATATTTAAATATTTATCGGAAAAAATGCCGTATAAAATATACGAAAATTGCTGATTTATGATAAACGAGTTTTTAGATGTTTATAAAATAATAAAACTAGATGATGATGATGCTATCATCATCATTTTTTTTAAATATTTATACGTCGAAACAGGTATGTAATAGGGTACTTAACTCCGCCACTCTGGTTCATTCAGTGATTTTATTATTATAAACTAGGCGCGATTATATGGCTAATTAATAGGTAATAATTTTAAATACGATCTATTTATTTTATTTTCCATTTTTAAATAGTTATAATTAATTTTTTAATACATAAAAAAAGACGAATTACTTTATAAAACTGTTCTTAAATCTAATTTGTTAGCTCACACTATTAATGGATTATTTTAACGCTGCTTACTTTAAGGATAAAATTATATAAACTTAAATATCTTCCTTTTATAATGATAATAATGATGATGAAGAAGATAAAATTTCCTTTGTTTTTTATTTAAATCTTAAACGAAGCGCATAAAATCCGATATCATCACTCACACATTTTAGTAATAAATTACACCGAAATTATATTCATTTACTTAAAAAAATATAAAAACAAAATTTGAAATTTATATTTTTCTTTCGTTTTATGATGATGACGATCGCCTTGTTTTATTTTATAAGTAAATAAATCCGCGTTAAAGTGTAATTTCTTATTTATCTTCACGGTCGAGATACGTGTTTTGATTACATTAGAATAAGGAAGTATAAACGAAACTTTCATTTATTTTTCACTATTTAACTAATTAATATTAAAATATGTTATATTTATAAAGCTTTTATACAAGTTAATTTATTTATTTTAAAAATAAACAGGAATGTAAAATAATATATCATTATGCAGGATAACAAGTTGCGAGGAGTTTAAGCACACAATCTACCAATTGGGTCCTTTGTTTAATCATTTAAAAAAAAATAAAAATAAATAAAATATATAAATTATTCTTCCACGCAAAAATGTTAAATAATTTTTTAAATTTTAATTAATAATAAAAATAAAAAGTAATATTAACACAGAAAAAATGAATTTAAAAAAAATTTTAATAACAAAAATTAAGTTTTGTGATTAAAATTTTTAATTACTTTTAACTTATTTGTTTATTAAACAAATTTGTATATCTAGAAAATAAATAAATATATTCGAATTTTTTTTAAAAAAATTAATTAATAAAAAAATATTGCATTAATTATTTAATTTTAATTTAATTAAAGAGCGTAAATTAGCTGTAAAAAACAATTACGAATAATCATCGCTTTACGTGAATTTTTGTAATTAAGAGAAAGAGAATAAAAAGTTGTTTTTTTTTTAAATCACTTCTAACAAAAAGAAATGTAAATTGAATTTTAAGAAACCGAATTAAATAATTATTTTTTGATGATTTAATAAATATATACTGTATATAGGAAGGAAATATCGAGTACGAGAGACTATATTCCGGGCCAGAATGGCTATTTAGATGTGTTAAAGCACGGTGTGCACATGACAGAATCTGTACACGGAAATGTCATAGAAGAGCAACAGGCCATGAGACAATTTCCGTGCATCTTCCTCAATGCTAACAAAATTTATGTGGTATAATGGTAGATTTTCATTATATCCGTTGACTGAGGAAAATATATATTCTTATATATATATATATATATATAAATAGGTCGTGTATAATCCCTACAAATAGTTAACAAATATATTTATTCTTTGTATGCTCTTATTAAAACATATTAAAATGAGCGCGGAAGAAAATTAAAATGCCTTTGAAACGTTTCCTCCTCGACACTGCATTCTAATTCTACTGTTACGTCGGTGGGGCTGTCACGTGACGTATTAACAATTCGTATATTACAACATCTCTTTTGTATATTAATAATTTAATTGTGGCATTAGTGATTCATGCTAAAGGTATCGTTACAGTGCTAATGCTGACGTAATGAGGACATTAGCGAGATCGAACCTTATAAAGTTTGTTTATACATAACTGCATATGAATGATTCGTAACATTAAATAAATATATTTTCGTGTCCTTAAGCCAACCAATTAAGAATAATAGCTTAGAAATGTGAATTTAAAAAAAAAATAATAATAATAAATGCCTCTTCCTAATAGAAGATTCTAAAAGTATACATAAAAATATGATTTTAAGCGGATTCTTTCCTTGCGTAACCGCATTTTTTTTTTCTTTTTGTTACTGTTTAAACATATTTTTAATGCAGAATTTTAAAATAGTTTAACGATAAATCTTTTCACAATCCATTGCATAAAATTGTTAAATAAATTCGGATCATCATCTGGCGATTTGCTTGGTGAGTATCTTATTTATGGATAAAACGTTACGTATTTACACAGTTACGACTTTATATTTATATATATATATATAAAATCAATAGAATTTTCCTTCGTAAATACTACAGGGAATGTTTTGTATATCTGCATTCAGGACAATTGCATATTGTAGGAAGTTTGAAAATTTTTAGAGAAGATAAGGTATAATTTATGCTCTTTTTTTTTCAAAAAATTAGTTAGAAGTCAGTTTGGTCGGATTGTAATGGCTGTTTAACTTCCTTCAGACGGATTGTTAGGATATCATAACGTTCTTCTTCCTTCAAGTGCCTCCTCCGGAGTGTTTCAAAAGGAATATGCTTTTCGGAGAGATATAAAATCAAGTTTAATAACCTTTACATAGGTGAATCGTTTGGGATACAATAAAAAGTTCTCCCTCTATCCTCTGCTTTAACCACAGTAAACAAAAATATTGAAGTTCATAAGAAATAAAATTTTATCGGAGTGGAGATACATTCTATGGATTTAAAGAAGCAGAAAATTGATACCTTTAAAGGGAAAAGTGTTGATATTCAGCCAAGCTGCAGAAAATCGAAATGTTGCATCTCCACTTTATGTAAATCACTTATTTTTTGAAAAAGTCTAGTCGAGCAAACAACCGCATTCCTTCATCCTCACAATATCAAAACCTGGATTCCGTTCGGGGATATGAGCTCCTAAAAATGTTTTAAAAAACTTAATTAAAAGTCAAATATTCGCTTGTTAGACGAATAACGACGAAAATGGAGTTAGAATTTTACCAAAATTTAAGAAAGACACTATTTTATACTTCCTTTAAAGATAATTAAAATTTCGCGTGGTTTAACTAAAGATAATCGACGATCGTTTCGATATTTGTAAATTTTGGGTTGTTAAACTTGAAAACACGTGACGATAAAAGGAAGTGTTATTTAAATAGGTCGAATTATCGCTGCATAAAAATTTTTGTGTAAAAACGTTAGAAAATTTGGGTCCTGTCCTAATTTACCTGTTTTAATTTTCAAAAAGCAATTTCATAATTGTGGAAAAAAATATATATATTCTTTGCGGATCAACAATATCTCTTTTGTTAATTTTAAAAATGGTGTCTCTATCCTGACGTCATTTTTAAAAATAGAATCACACGAATTTTCTACCTTTTCTCCTTTTTCTTATCGTCTCACCTCCTTTCCTATGCAAAGAAAGGAAAGGGGGCCTTTCTTTAGCCTAGTATTTTGAGTAGTTNCAACAAATCTCGAAACAACTGCATTCGCTTACCAGTAAAAAGCTGTCGAATTATTCATAAAGTATTGACAACAGCTTTGGAAGTAAGAATTTCGTTTAATTAGAATATTGCCCCCTTTTTTAACTGGGATAATGTTAAACAAACACTTCTTTTTAGTGTAAAAAAAAAGTCAAGAAAATTCGCTAGTTTGTGAATTTGACAGTTTAAAAACAAATTTAAAAACAAAAAAAAAACATGGAGGATTTGAGGAAAAATACCGGATTATGTACCCAAAATTCTGAAAACTTTAGAACGTTTTTTTAAAAATTGAAACGGTTCTTACCAGCCATTTAGATCGCTAAATATATTTGAATTGTTAACATAAATTAATAAGGAGAAGGAGAAGAGGGAGCTTATCATTTTAAATTTTAAAAAAATAATTAAAGACGCAATTCTAAAATTAGAATACAAGAAAAGCAAAGGAAATTCTTCGAGACCCAGATATTTAATAAGGTTTCGATCGGACGAATGTATTAATAATAGTTTAAAATAAAAAAAAAAGAATCATTTCGGAGAGGGCCAACGACAATAACAACTCTTCTATATAATATATCCACTGTAGCTGCGTGGTTTTTTATAATGATGTGCATGACCCTGATCAATTAGCCATACCTTGCATATCGCCAATGGTTAGTTAGGAGTCACGTTTCGTATGCAATTTAGGACATGACCTGTCATCCGACACACAAAAAAAAATTATTATTATTTTTAAAATAATAATATTTTTATTGAATAAATTCGATTCTATACGTTACTCGATAATGTATTTTACTTACCATTCATTTTTCTTGTTAATTCGTAACGTTATTAAATATAGAATTGCTTCATCAAATCGAAGAAATTCAGCAATGTTGCATACAAAAAATCGCAATTATTTTCTAATCAGAATATTAAAATTTCATCTTAAATTAATAATAGAAGTGGTTATTGTTTAACCAATTGATTGCAAACAATGCGCTTAAGATATTTAACGTGTTTTAAATGTTACGCGATATAGTTTGGCCTTCACACTGATGAAGTAGCAGTCTTCTTAGTTCTGTTTAGAAAGGTGAAAAAGAGCAATTCTACTGTACCATTTGATGGTAGCACGAATAATTATAATTTAGTTTAAGATTTGTTAAAATATAGAAATGAGTATAACTCTGATACTTCTATAAAAATATGAAGGTCAAAGTTACGCGTATTTCTATATTTGAATGATGGAACAATGTATAGATATTAACATTTTTCCTGGTGCAAAGTTAATTTTTCTTATAGATATTGTAGTTGTTAAACATTTTCCTGTTAGATGTGTAATTTTTTTTTCTCATTTATAGAATATAAGCAAAGTATTTTGTGCATATTAAATGACAGAAACGTTCGATGATAGGAGCATCTGCAACCTTTTTTTTTTAGCTTATAATTTTTATGTTATTTCTACCAAGTATTTTATAATCAGAGTTTCTTATTAATAGGCTATTTTAAATAATAGAATGATGTTCAATTTTAATTTTGATGTCAAATATCCTGCTCCATCGAACATCTATATAATAGTTTTAATTTTTCCTTCTTAGATTTGTAAGATAACAAATGAGAAATTTTATTAAATATTGATACTAAAATAATGAAGGAATAATTTTGATTTTTAATTTCTATTCGGTAAAAGGGAATAATTATTATTTTATTAACATTTTTTTAAAAAAAATTTATATAGCCTAAACTAACCTTCCTTAAATCGAATGATAATATATGGCAACGGAAAATCAGATTTATTGATTAATTTTAAGATTCATATGCACGTTTTATCTGAATTTATTATGAGAATTCTATATAAATCTGCACTATAGCCTTTTTGAAACGTATGCATAGTGGCCCAAAAATTAGTTAACTGAGACTTATTTTATATAATTTAGTCAAATATTCGCTTGATAGACGAGAAACGGCGAAAATGGAGTGAGAATTTTTGCTAAATTAGGGTGCAATAACTTAGATTTGCTTCGATGTATTATAATTTTGTACATTTGTAACAGGAAAGATTTCATTCTAAGTAATTTTTATTAATAGAAACTATATTAAACGGGTTAACTGAGTTTTGGATCGTGTCGTGTGATAGTTAATACATCTTTACAAGAAACTAGAGTCGAACATACTTTGATAAAAGATCTCACTTTTCCTCTTTGTTCTGTGCGAATCAGACACAGGATGAACATTTCCGAGACGATAATTAAATTGTAGGAATGACATTCTTAGAAAACGCTCCGATTTATCATTTTCTCAGTCTTAATTAAACCATCAAAACTCTAATTTTTAATATTTCCGGAGGAAATTTTATTTATCTCTTTAGAATGGGGTCGAATCGCTGGACTGGCGGAGACATTGCACGAACATTATATGTATACGTATCGTACTACATTAATATACTAATATGTATCTAATATATAGCCTATTTCTTGCGATGCGCACAGTTCCAATGACACAACCGAGTTGGCAATTTGCCCGACCTAATTATTTTAATTCTCAATTAGTATAGATGAATGTATCGTCTGAGATAACATCATCCATCTGACACTCTCTATAACTTCAACCACTAAAAGAGAGAGAAAAAAAATTAGTAGGTGTATATTCGTCCTTGATTCCTTTGCATGACTGATTATTAGTGCGTGAATAAATAGTAAAAAATGCGTTTTTATATATTACTGAATATTAATATAGATTTATAAGCCATGTTTTCCTCAATTTTAACAATTTTTAATACTCTTAAGCCGGAAAATAAATTTAAAGAGCATCAGCATCACTGTGCATCGTAGCGATGAATTAAGTAATGCATTTGTGGGCCAACTTGATTACTTTTTTTTTTCTTTTAATATCGAATATTGAATGATGTTTTCCTAATTAAAACATCAAGAAATCATTCCTTAATTTTAAGACCTTCTCCTAAGACGATGCAGTATATTAAGACTTGACATTACTCGAGCATCTACTCCGTTATCAATTTATTAATTTTTAAATAACATTTTTGTCCGTCCGCGGCTATGAATATGTATAGAGACCTTTACAACACATTATAGATGGTCTTTATGTAAATATATTCGTGTTAGATAAAGAAAGAAGCAGTCGGATCACCCTAGAGCTAGGCGAGGGAGCTAATTTTGGAGTAGAGAGAGTCTAGTTATCCAAAACAAATAAACTCATTAGCGAAAGAGCGTCAAGAAGAAGAGAGAAGGTCTCGGATTTTGTTAAAGAAGACTTCATTGTAGTGATCGATCAGCTAAATTGTTGTTTAAAACGCAAAGATAAGTCGACTTGATTGGAATCTCAATTATGACACCCAAGATGCTCATTTATAAATAATTGATGAGCGCTCAGAGAGACATTGAAAAGATTTGAGCAGATAATGAAACAATAAAGATTGGAGGAGTAGACGAAGAGAATGTTTAAAACTCGACGCGATTCTTTTTAACTTTTAATTTTTTTTTCTCTCTCTCTTCCCCATTTCATCTCATTGAAAGAGTGCATTGTCACTTAAAGAATAATAATATCTAAAAAAGAACAAAGAAAAAAATAACATTTATTGGTGTTGCATCCGACATCGATATTTTTAGATTTGACAGAGATTAAACGTGCAATATCCAAGCACAATTGCAATCTCGGTGCTGCAGCTTACGATACAATTCCTTGACCTTTTCTTATAAATCGATTTAAACTCCAGTTACCGCAATAAGTTTTCAAATATCCCGTTTTTAAGGGAACAAAAAAATAATATACAAATAAAAAAACATATAAGTTGTAGGAAGAACTTTTTAAGTGTCTTTTAAAACACACGATTCGAACAATAAGATGATCAGAATTCACGTTTCTCCGTCACAGAATCCTTAATTCATTTAACTACTTCAGTATCCAGTTACCAGAATTCGTTTAATGAATAAAACTAAATAAGTATCATTAAATAGATGCCATATATATACATAAAAGCTATACATAGAAGCATGCTGTACATCTGTACACATTTTAATTAAATTCTTCCTGTATAAAAGTGTACTGTACTGTATTGAATACAGTATTGTACTGTACATGTTGCACATTTTCAAGAGGTCTCGTAGGATTAATTTATAAAGTGCGCTATTGATTTTAGACTAATAATTTAATTTAGGAAGAGCTAACAATAACTATGCACTTCCTATACATATATACATCACAAACATATATATATATATTACAGTAACAAGATTTTTACGCTAGGGCGATCACTTTAATTACAATATTAATTATTTACACGTTTTGTTGATGAAATAATGTGATTTATTCGGCATCAACCGGTTTGCTCCTTGGAAATTATTCATTCTTATCAAAGATTAATACTTCTGAGACGAGTAAAAGTTGAAAAACGGGCGCTCGAATTATGGAAAATAATGGCAATGCGTGGTTTACGAGTTGTTACTCGGTAGCGCACTTTCTCTTAGGAAAATATCAATTTCTGGGCATTGTTTATGTATAGAGTACAATTGTCTGTCTAACCCGAGTCGGGACAATGACCGATAGATTCAAGGACGAAAATTGGGAGTGACGGGCTGCTTGTTTAGAAAAACGCACTTATATATATAAGGAAAAAGAGAATAAAGGCTTTTGGGGAAAAATCAAGCTCGGGTTCTCACCTCAGTCGAAGCAGATAGTGACAAAAAAAAGAAATGCAGCCGAGATAAATTACGTTTTAGTTATCGGATAGCCCATCCAGCCGGTGCCATTCTTCCCTACAGGCCGAATGGATATGCACCAGGCAACTTCCTCTGCCAGAACTGTCCTTGCTCTCATTTGTCAGTCGGTTCCAGTGAGGGACTTCTGAAGAACGATCCAACGGACGGACCGAGGCAGCACCCAAGTTCCCTCTTTTGTATGTTGGAGGGCGCTGGCGTGTGTGTACGGTGCAGCCCGGATGTATCAGCAGACGACGTGTGCCGACCAATTGCAGTGGCTGCGCTGCACAGCCGGCTTAGCTTAGGTGTCCGCCGTAGCAGTTAACTTACAGTCGTGTGGTACTGTGGTGAGAGCCGGCAACTAGTCTGGCAACACTACGATGACACGCCTCGGTTTAGCGACAATTGGTGTTCTCCGCTGTCAGTCAAAGCAACGAGTTTGCAGTAACCTGGCCTGCCTCGCTCTGATAGAAGTCTGGTGACAGAGCCTGGGAATTAACGCATCTTAAACCGTTTGGATTGTAGTAGTGTGTGCCGTGTGGCTAGACTAATTGGTTAAAAGGAAGAGAATTACGGCTGACAAGGTGAGTGTTTCTACTTAAAGTTCGACTGGCATCGGGTCGGCGCCGCTCGACTACGGCCTGACAAATTGTCTCGTCTGCTAACAAATTACGCGTTTTAGAGCTTGTTTGGATAAACACTGGGATGGTAATGTGTGCCACGTGACTTGGCGTGATGCGCTACACGCACCTTAATAACGCACGAACGTAACTCGATCGGGTGAAGTGCTTTTCTGCTGACCTTGCCCCGTGCCATTCGATATTTTGTTTAAGGGGTTGTGTGTGTGTATGCGAGTCTGTGTGTGCAACAGCTAGGTGGCTGCGCTAATCGGCAGGGAGTAATGTGCCTCAACTGGTCTCATTCAATCTGCAGACATGGGAGATTGGTCTCCACTTACTAAAGCACTAAAGTAGCCTGTTTAAGTACGAAGGCGGGTTGTAAAGTGAGGGATGAGGAGATTTCACGTGTTTGCCTACGATCGGGGTGTAAACACTGTCTTGACTTTTTACCGCTCGTTGCGCCGCTTGGCTGCGTATCTTTTAAATGTTTCTTAAACAATTGTTCCTGTTTATTTGACTTGTTCGCTTCGCGTTGACATCATTAGTCGGTCGCTTTTCTTCTTTTTTCAAAAAAAGGCGTTAACGAGT